TTCAGATCCCTTCAAAAGAAAGTAAGGGAAACAGAGTATTGCAGAGATGAACCTTAAATCTGGTAAGTTTGGGTCTAGCTAAAAAGCTTCATTTTCCAGTTTTGTCACTTGCCTCCCTCAAGCCTATTCCCAGCACTCCTAAAGTGTAAACACTTGACTGATTTGAAAGCTAGACAAATAGAAATTCTACTGGGCAACTAGAAATTCTTCATATCTCCTTAGCACTGAATGGCTTATAGAGCATTCTCATATCCTTTGGACAGTGCTATGAGAAGGAAGGGCAGGACAGAAATTATTTTCCCATTTTACTGGTAAGAAAACTGAAATTCAAATAACTATTATTGCCCAAGGAAACAACTGCTAAATGCAGGATCTACACTAAAATCACTAGAATATGGGTCTTCTGATTTCTAAACATAATGCTATTTCATAATAATAGCTTCTATTTATTGAGCGAAAGATAAGGAGCTTACAATGATTATGATTAATACATTAAATGAAATTAGTAATTCAATGGATAATTTTAATAGCAGACTGTTTATAGCATGACACAGCACTGGTGAAGTAGAAGACACATCAATAAAAGATGGGCATGCTGAGGCACAGCAAGCCAAAAGAACAAGAAAGGAGCATAAGTGACTTAGACCATTGACCATATGGCCTAACACATAGGTAATTATAGCTCCCTAAAAGCCCCATTCCCAGAGAATTGCTACTATTTGACATGCCTGGCTGCTCCCTGAAAAAACCCTCTTCTCAGAGTTAGTCTTTATTTAATCTGACCGGGAGCTCACTGAAGGCAAACAGCGCTATCCCCAGGATATTTGCCAAAAACAATCAGCAGCAATTGTTCAACACTGCAGCTGCCTAAAGTATCAATACCATTTGGTGGCAAACAGGAGGCTGAAAGGAAAATCTAGGGAATAAGATGTTCACAGAAGCTTTAAATATTTGTCACATATTTCTGGTTATCTAGAAAGACATGTGCACATGCAGGGCTCTGAACATGCCCAGGAAATGAATCAGAAGGTCCTAATCTCTCACTTTTGGTTTATCTTGAGGCTCTGTGGAAACATGAAGTGAAAGCTAAAGCAGAGTTGTAAACTGCTAGAGCAATGAAGGTTCATCCTAACATATGTACCCATAGCCCTTCAGCAGAGGCTGAAAGACTTATTGGTTCAGACTAACTAAATTCAGCAACATACAAAAGGGATTATATAGCATGATCAATTGGGTTTACTTCAGGAATGTAAGGTTACTTTAACATCTGAAAATCAATTAATGTAATGCATCACATAATTTAAAAAGACAAATAACATGATCATCTCAATAGATCCTTATTTGAAGCACTTGACAAAAATCTACTATCTTTTCATGAAAAAAATATGCAAACTAGAAATACAAGAGAACTTCTTTAACCCACTAATTCTACCTAGGAAAAACCCCAGCTATCATCATATTTAATGCTATAAGACTAAATGTTTTCCTCCTTGATCAGGAACAAGAAAAGGGTACCTGTTCTCATCCCTCTCATTCATCATAGTGCTGGGAGTTCTAGCCAAAATAGGTAATTGAAATAAAGAAAAGGCACTCAGATTAGAAAGGAAGAAGTAAAACTATCTGTATTCAGAGATAATATGATTTTGAAATTGTCCTGATATTAACATGTTGGGCTATAAAGAAACCTGTAATAAATTTCAAATAATTGAAATCACTGAGAGTAATATGTCCCTAATCACAAGGGGATTTAATAACTAGTATTTAATAATTTTAAGATAACTAGAAAAATCCCCAAAGTCTGCAATTTGAATAAGAGAGTTCTACATAACAAGTCAATGAAAGATGAAATCAAAATAAAAGTTGGGAAGTAATTTGAACTAAATTATAATTAAGATATGACATATCAAGACTTGTATGAAAGAGATAATGCAGTGCTTAGAGAGAAATGTATAGCCTTAAATGCATATATTAAAGAAAGGCCAAAAAAATAAGTGATTAAACTTTTATCAAAGGAAGCTAAAATGAAAAGAGACAAAATTTAAAGAAAGTAAAAGGATGAATATAATAAATATAAAACAAAAATCAATGCAATTATAAATAAGGACACGAAAACTAAAAGCTCCTTCTCTGAAAAGATTTTTTAAATTAATTAATTCCTAGCAAAACTGATAGAAAAAAAGAGAAAACAAAAATATCAATACCAAAATACAAAAGGGGATATCACTACAGGTTTCACAAACATTAAAGAAATAATTTAAAAATATTGCAAATAATTTTATACAAAAATTGATAATTTGATTTTGATAGAAAAATTCCTTAAACAAAATATAACTTCCTGAAGTTAAAAGAAACTATGAATATTCTGTTATTTACTAAATGATCTGAAAATGTTATTTGAAACTTCTCACAAAGAAAACATAATATCCGTGAGTTTCATCAGTAATCTCTTCCAAACATTTAAGGAAGAATAGAAGTATTCAACAAATTAAGAGAGACAAAAAATAATTAACCCTTTCCAATTCATTTTATGAGGAGGAATAATATTTATATCAATATGTAAAAGAGAATTAGAAGGGCAGAAAGTGAAAGACCAGTTTCTCTCACAGATATAGATATAAAACTCATTAAATAGATATTAGCAAATTGGATCTAGTGAATATATAATCACCAGTGGAGTTTATTACAGAAACAGAGGGTGGATAGAATCAGTGTATTTCACCTGATTAACAGATTAAAAATGGAGAAAATCTTATTATGTTCCCTGAATGATGCACAAAAACGCACCTGATAAAATGTCTCCATTTATTTATTCTTTTTAAAGTAACAAACTAAATGCAAAGATGTAATTTCAGTTCTCTGAGTCATGTTTTCCTCTGGGTAAAATGCAATAACACAAAATAGCAAACACAGAAGTGCAAGTAAATTTCAAACCTCTAATTGTGTCATGACTATTAGTAATTTATTGACCAAAACTTTCTCAAGTATCTTGTCCAGAAATTATTTTACTGTGCTTTTCTAACAGCTAAGTGTTCTTCCAAGTAGCTTCAGAACTGGTAGGGACAAAAGAAAATAAACACACATACAGCAACAATTAGCAGGTCTCCTGGCCTTCTACTGCTACCTTTACTTTTACATATTAAACCTTGACCTAAGGTCTCTTTAAAGAATATGCTCAAAAGTAAAAATAATCTGAAAACATTGTTAATCTATTCTAGCATTACCTATGGAATACTTCTTCCATATGTTGGATCATGAAGTGTCAGGGATGTCTCTTGGTATTCTGATACGAATACTATTTATTATAGTTTTATAATACTTTCAATATGTAGTAGATTAATTTCTCCCTTAAAATTTTTTATATATTCTTGGCTATTTTCCCAAGAAACTTCAGAAACCTCTATTATTTTTAAGTCATTTTGAAATAAATTAAATATTTTAAATGATTAAAAAATAATTAAAAATCTTTGCAATTTTTAGTGTACCATCTAAGAACAGGATGTTGAATCTCCTCTTATTAAATATACATTCATTTTTCTGGTATCATAAAGACATAATAAAGCTATTCCTAGATATGTATGTTTTGTCACTAATTTTTGTTAATAGAATATTTTTCTTGTATTTTCTAAATTGATTTTGAGGGTGTATAGCAAATATACTTATTTTCTATTTTTATTCATATAGCCTAGCTTATGGAGTTCTCTTATTGACTCTAATCTTTTCAGTTGATTAATTTAGACTTTTGATTCTTCTCACGAAATAGTCCTCAAATAATTATAACAAATATCATACTTGTGTTTTATGTTTTAATGTATTTATTAAAGCATCAGAATAAGTATAATTTTTCAAAAATTTTAAGAATTTTTCTGCCATGTTTAACCTCTCAGGGATAATAGATAATTCTGGAGAATACATTTTACTGTTCATTTTGTATTTGATCTGGGATTGTTTAGGGCCAGGAATAGCAATTTTTTAGACGCCTGTTGGAAGAAATCTTTCATTTACCAAACACTTAAAGCATGTTTTAAAGTTGCATGTTGTCCTCAGGGATATTCATCTAAGTTAGAGAATTCCAAAATCTATAAATAAGATTACAAATTTGTATTATCATCAATATGTCCCTACTGTAAATAAATAAAAATAGATGAGAGAAATCATGGAAATTAACAGACTAAAAGAAATAGTCCAGAATTTATTGAAAAGACTCCGTTTTATAGTTACCCTGTGCGGTTTAAGAAAATCATTTGAGTAGTTCAAATGATTGTTTGATTAGTTCAAACTCAGTATCTGATCCTCCCATTTATGCTCTAGTAGAATGACATTTAAGCCTATTTATACATAGTAAATAATGTACACAGTAAAATCCATTTTGATTAAGATCATGTTCAAAAGAGTAAAGCATTTAAACATTATCAATAACTACACATTGCAGATTGTTTTATTCTACTTCAATTATGTACAATCTGTATAATAATGTACTGGCTAAGAGAGATATTTTCAAACTTGCTCTCCTCTGCCTTATCTATAACTTGGGTAATTATTCATTGAAAACACATCTTGATCTTGAATAACTACTCTGTGTTAAACCATATATATTTGCACTGTCCAATACAGTAGCCATTGGTCACAGCAACTATTACATACTTAACATGTGGCCAATCCAGATTGAGAAATGTAATGTACATAACTGATTATAAAACCTTGGTATATATAAAATAAAAATATAAAATATCTTATTAATAATTTTCATATTGATTGCATGTTGAGATGATTTTTAGGTCTAATGGGTTACAGAAAGTGTTATACTGATTTTGCTCTTAAATAATTTTTCAATGTGGCTGATAGAAAATTTTAGCTTATACATTTGAGTTACCTTGTATTAATGTTAGAGCTGGGATATTTATGATACAGATATCAAAATGCATATAACTTGCTCTCAAAGAGTGCCTATTATTTATTACTTCTGATGCTTTTCAGTGTATTGAAAACTCACAAGTGCCTAGTCAGGTAATGCTATGTATTTATATTACATCTAGGGATGGAAGGAATGAACTGGTAAAGTGATTTTTTCAGTGTCTTACATTTGGTAAAGATAGAACCTAAACCTATCTAGCATTCAAAGGCATTTTTTTCCCTCTTTACATCTCTCGAGGGGGCAAAGGCCCAATAAAGAATAATCAAAATATATGATAGATTTTGGCACATAAACATGTTCAAAGCTTGCTGGGGAATTTTTTAGCTCTCTCTATATCCACTTCATGCAGAGTTGAAAGACTAACAATTTGGGCAATGATATGAATCTGTTGCTTCCCATTCTTCAACTAAAAGTCAACTTTTCACCTCCACATCATGTTTTTATTAAAAGCCTCATGTTCTTTCCAGCAAAATCTCGCTGTTGAGTCCACTCCTCTCCAGTGTTGCTGAGTTAACTAATGTAAGAGTGAGATATGCTAAGCTTTCATTCTTTTAGAATTTGAAAGCAAAGCCTTTGCAGCAAATAAGAGCACTGAATAAACAAGTGCCTACTGTAGAGCACAGGGAACTATATTCAATATCCTGTGATAAACCATAATGGAAAAGAATATAAAAAAGAATGTGTGTATATATATGCATATATACGTATATGTATATACATGTATAAACGAATCACTCTGTCGTACAGCAGAAATTAACACAACACTGTAAATCAACTATACTTCAATTAAAAAAAAAAAGAGCCCCGCAATGCTGTACACTTTCATGATGGTACTTCTTTCCCTTAGAAAAGTTTTCAACATTGAGAAATATGCTTGCAGTTTTTTTTTTAATTGTAAAAAAATATAATAGCCCCCCCAAAAAAGAGAAAAAGTGAAAAAGAGATAGTACACCCACATTTCTGTTAGCGCCATGATTCAGAAGTTGCTCAAATTGTTCTGATCACATTTCATTTCCCTGGACTTAGTCATACAAGTGTCTGATGTTAGAAGGGAGGCTCAAAAACATAGCCCCTAACAGTCTATGGCCCCCGGGTGCATACAGCTACAAGGAAGGAGAGAACTGACAGAGGTTCATAATTAGAAATGTCTGTGACCAAGGAGCTTCAAGATGGCGGAAGAGTAAGACGTGGAGATCACCTTCCTCCCCACAGATATATCAGAAATACATCTACATGTGGAACAACTCCTATAGAACACCTACTGAACGCTAGCAGAAGACCTCAGACCTCTCAAAAGGGAAGAAACTCCCCACGTACCTGGGTAGGGCAAAAGAAAAAAGAAAAAATAGAGCCAAAAGAATACGGACTGTACCTGCACCAGTGGGAGGGAGCTGTGAAGGAGGAAAGTTTTCCGCACACTAGGAGCCCCTTCGTGGGCGGAGACTGCGGGTGGCGGAGGGGGAAAGCTTTGGAGCCGTGGAGGAGAGCGCAGCAACAGGGGTGCGGAGGGCAAAGCGGGGAGATTCCCGCACAGAGGATCGGTGCCGACCAGCACTCACCAGGCTTGTCTGCTCACCCACCGGGGTGGGCGGGGCTGGGAGCTGAGGCTTGGGCTTCGGTCGGAGCGCAGGGAGAGGACTGGGGTTGGTGGCATGAACACAGCCTGCAGGGGGTTAGTGCGCCAAGACTGGCCGGGAGTGCGTCTGGGAAAACGCCCGGACCTGCCGAAGAGGCAAAAGCCTTTTTCTTCCCTCTTTGTTTCCTGGTGCGCGAGGGGAGGGGGATTCAGAGCCCCGCTTAAAGGAGCTCCAGGGACGGGCGCGAGCCGCGACTAACAGCGCAGACCCCAGAGACGGGCATGAGATGCTAAGGCTGCTGCTGCCGCCACCAAGAAGCCTGTGTGCAAGCCCAAGTCACTCTCCACACCTCCCCTCCTGGTAGCCTGTGCAACGCGCCACTGCCAGGGTCCCGTGATCCAGGGACAACTTCCCCCGGAGAACACATGGTGCCTCAGGCTGGTGCAACGTCACGCTGGCCTCTGACGCCGCAGGCTCGCCCCACATCTGTACCCCTCCCTCCCCCCTCCTGAGTGAGCCAGAGCCCCCAAATCAGCTGCTCCTTTAACCCCGTCCTGTCTGAGTGAAGAACAGATGCCCTCAGGCGACCTAAACGCAGAGGCGGGGACACATCCAAAGCTGAGCCCCGGGAGCTGTGCGAATAAGGAAGAGAAAGGGAAATCTCTCCCAGAAGCCTCAGGAGCAGAGGATTAAATCTCCACAATCAACTTGATGTACTCTGCATCTGTGGAATACCTGAATAGACAATGAATCACCCCAAATTGTGAAGGTGGATTTTGGGAGCAAAGATATATTATTTTTTCCCCTTTTTCTCTTTTTGTGAGTGTGTATGTGTATGCTACTGTGTGTGATTGTCTGTATAGCTTTGCTTTCACCATTTGTGCTAGGGTTCTGTCTGTCCGGTTTTTTTGTTTTTTTTTTTTTTTTACTTTTTAGAATTTTTTCTTATTTTTTTTATTTTCTATTTTAATAACCATTTTATTTCACATTATTTTATTTAATCCCTTCTTTCTTTCCTTCCTTCCTTCCTCCCTCCCTCCCTCCCTCTCTCTCTCTCTCTTTCTTTCTTTGTTCTTTCTATTTTTTCTCCATTTTATTCTGAGCCATGTGGAGGACAGGCTCTTGGTGCTCCAGCCAGGAGTCAGTGCTGTGCTTCTGAGGTAGGAGAGCCAACTTCAGGACACTGGCCCACAAGAGACCTCCCAGCTCCATGTAATATCAAATGGCAAAAACCTCCCAGAGATCTCCGTCTCAACACCAAGACCCAGCTTCACTCAACAACTAGCAAGCTACAGTGCTGGACACCCTATGCCAAACAACTAGCAAGACAGGAACACAACCCCACCCATTAGCAGAGAGGCTGCCTAAAGTCATAATAAGGCCACAGACACCCCAAAACACACTACCAGACGTGGACCTGCCCACCAGAAAGACAAGATCCAGCCTCATCCACCAGAACACAGGCACTAGTCCCCTCCACCAGGAAGCCTACACAACCCACTGAAACAACACAACTTTAGCCACTGGGGACAGACACCAAAAACAATGGGAACTACGAACCTGCCACCTGCAAAACAGAGACCCCAAACACAGTAAGATAAGCAAAATGAGAAGACAGAAAAACACACAGCAGATGAAGGAGCAAGGTAAAAACTCACCAGACCTAATAAATGAAGAGCAAATAGGCAGTCCACCTGAAAAAGAATTCAGAATAATGATAGTAAAGATGATCCAAAATCTTGGAAATACAGAAAATAAAATAAATGTTCAACAAGGACCCAGAAGAATTAAAGAGCAAACAAACAATGATGAACAACACAATAAATGAAATTAAAAATTCTCTAGAAGGGATCAATAGCAGAATAACTGAGGCAGAAGAATGGAGAAGTGACATGGAAGATAAAATAGTGGAAATAACTACTGCAGAGCAGAATAAAGAAAAAAGAATGAAAAGAACTGAGGACAGTCTCAGAGACCACTGGGACAACCTTAAAAGCACCAACATTCGAATTATAGGGGTCCCAGAAGAAGAAGAGAAAAAGAAAGGGACTGAGAAAATATTTGAAGAGATTATAATGGAAAACTTCCCTAATATGGGAAACGAAATAGTTAATGAAGTGCAGGAAGCACAGGGAGTCCATACAGGATAAATCAAAGTAGAAACATAACAAGACACGTATTAATCAACAATCAAAAATTAAATACAAAGAAAACATATTAAAAGCAGCAAGGGAAAAACAACAAATAACACACAAGGGAATCCCTATAAGGGTAACAGCTGATCTTTCAGCAGAAACTCTGCAAGCCAGAAGGTAGTGGCAGGACATATTTAAAGTGATGAAGGAGAAAAACCTACAACCAAGATTACTCTACGCAGCAAGGATCTCATTGAGATTCGATGGAGAAATTAAAACCTTTAAAGACAAGCAAAAGCTGAGAGAGTTCAACACCACCAAACCAGCTTTACAACAAATGCTAAAGGAAATTTTCTAGGGAGGAAACACAAGAGAAGGAAAAGACTTGCAATAACACACCCAAAACAATTAAGAAAATGGTAATAGGAACATACATATCGATAATTACCTTAAATGAAAATGGATTAAACACTCCCACCAAAAGACATAGACTGGCTGAATGGATACCAAAAAAAGACCCATATATATGCTGTCTACAAGAGACCCACTTCAGACCTAGGGACAGACTGAAAGTGAGAGGATGGAAAAAGATATTCCATGCAAATGGAAATCAAAAGAAACCTGGAGTAGCAATTCTCATATCATACAAAATAGACTTTAAAGACTATTAGGAGAGACAAAGAAGGACACTACATAATGATCAAGGGATTGATTGAAGAAGATAAAACAATTGTAAATATTTATGCACCCAATATTGGAGCACCTTGATACATAAGGCAAATACTAACAGCCATAAAAGGGGAAATGGACAGTAACACCAACATAGTAGGGGACTTCAACACCCCTCTTTCACCAATGGACAGATCATCCAAAATGAAAATAAATAAGAAAACACAAGCTTTAAATGATACATTAAACAAGATGGACTTAATTGATATTTATAGGACATTGCATCCAAAAACAACAGAATATACATTCCTCTCAAGTGCTCATGGAACATTCTCCAGGAAAGATCATATCTTGGGTCACAAACCAAGCCTTGGTAAATTTAAGAAAACTGAAATTGTATCAAATATCTTTTCCGACCACAATGCTATGAGACTAGATATCAATTACAGGAAAAGATCTGTAAAAAATGCAAACACATGGAGGCTAAACAATACAATACTTAATAACCAGGTGATCAGTGAAGAAGTCAAAGAGAAAATAAAAAAATACCTAGAAACAAATGACAATGGAGAAACAATGACCCAAAACCTATGGGATGCAGCAAAAGCAGTTCTAAGAGGGAAGTTTATAGCAATACAGTCCTATCTTAAGAAACAGGAAACATCTCAAATAAACAACCTAACCTTGCACCTAAAGCAATTAGAGAAGGAAGAACAAAAAAACACCCCAAAGTTGGCAGAAGGAAAGAAATCATAAAGAGCATATCAGAAATAAAGGAAAAAGAAATGAAGGAAACCATAGCAAAGATCAATAAAACTAAAAGCTGGTTCTTTGAGAAGATAAAATTGATAAACCATTAGCCACACTCATCAAGAAAAAAAACGGAGAAGACTCAAATGAATAGAATTAGAAATGAAAAAGGAGAAGTAACAAATGACACTGCAGAAATACAAAGGATCATGAGAGATTACTAAAGCAACTCTATGCCAATAAAACGGACAACTTGGAAGAAATGGACAAATTGTTAGAAATGCACAACCTGCCAAGACTGAACCAGGAAGAAATAGAAAATATGAACAGACCAATCACAAGCACTGAAATGGAAACTGTGATTAAAAATCTTCCAACAAACAAAAGCCCAGGACCAGATGGCTTCACAGGCGAATTCTATCAAACATTTAGAGAAGAGCTAACGCCTATCCTTCTCAAACTCTTCCAAAATATAGCAGCGGGAGGAACATTCCCAAACTCATTCTATGAGGCCACCATCACCCTGATACCAAAACCAGACAAACATGCCACAAAAAAAGAAAACTACAGGCCAGTATCACTGATGAACATAGATGCAAAAATCCTCAACAAAATACTACCAAACAGAATCCAACAGCATATTAAGAGGATCATACACCATGATCAAGTGGGGTTTATTCCAGGAATGCAAGGATTCTTCACTATATGCAAATCAATCAATGTGATACACCATATTAACAAATTGACGGAGAAAAACCATATGATCATCTCAATCGATGCAGAGAAAGCTTTCGACAAAATTCAACACCCATTTATGATAAAAAAAAAAAACCCTGCAGAAAGTAGGCAAAGAGGGAACTTTCCTCAACATAATAAAGGCCATATATGACAAACCCACAGCCAACTTCGTCCTCAGTGGTGAAAAATTGAAACCATTTCCACTAAGATCAGGAATAAGACAAGGTTGCCTATTCTCACCACTATTATTCAACATAGTTTTAGAAGTTTTAGCCACAACACTCAGAGCAGAAAAAGAAATAAAAGGAATCCAAATTGGAAAAGAAGAAGTAAAGCTGTCACTTTTTGCAGATGACATGATACTATACATAGAGAATCCTAGAGATGCTACCAGAAAACTACTAGAGCTAATCAATGAATAATGTCTAAAGATACATCGTGAACTGTAAAGCTCTAAATTAAATCAAAGATATAATTTCAATTGTGAAGGAAGACTTGCTCTATTAAGTACCATCATTCAAAAGCTAATAAAATTGACAGAACTAGAAATGAAGTAAATGTTATATTCATCAAATTAAAAAAATATAGTTAAAAATGAAAATAATTAAAAATGGAAAAAATAATTCAGAGGAAATGTTTGTAAGACATCACAATTAAGCAGACAATGTGATTTGTGCACATAAATAAAACTACACACACAGATAAACACAAGATCCACACATACACTTTTCATTTAACATTGAAAAAATTCTTTAAGCCAAGGTTTCTGTTTTCCAAATGAAGAAAAGTGAGGTTCAGAGAATTATGTAACTAAACTGGTAACAGAACTGATACTAGAATCCACATCGGATTCTAATGTCAGAGCTAAAGCTTCAACATTTATTCACACTTTGTAATTACTGAGCCAAACATTATTTATTAATGAATCTTAGATTTAAAAATACCAGTAACATTACCAAAATTAATCTTACTATGCTGACTTTAATTCTAAACATTTCCTCTTTGCCTTCGAGAAAAGGTATCAGTAGCTTCAATTAGATTACTAGTCCAAATAGGAAAAAAATATATATTTTTAGAATTACCTGCTTAATTCATAATAAGATTCTCTAGGCAAAAAATATATAATAAAGTATTCATATCCTAGTGATGGGGATTATATAATTTTATTGATTTTGTTAATTTTGCTAAATATGAGATGCCCAAAATGGGAACCATATCTTTATATGTTGTCATGGAGTGAATTGAAAATGTTTGATCCCTGATGAAATATTCACAGTTTTTTTCAGTTTAGTGGGAATCAATAATGATTTATCATCATTAGTCCACTGGAGACAATATCCAAGTGTCAAACTACAAAGCTTATCAGCTTCATCCATGTTTAAATTTCCTTTAAACAGAGGTGTGAGGATGCTTATTGTAAATGGAAACAAGATTGGATTGCAGCCTGGTTCCCAGGATGACTGAATACTTCCTGGTTGAGGCAGTATTAAATAAGATGATTAACAAGAGACTGTATTTTTTTTTTCTTTTGCAAAGTTAATGGATCAGCTTTCAGAGTGAGTTCCAGAAGGCATACATACGGCTACTCAGTCAGTTGGAAAAATGAGTAATGGAAACCTTACGGAAAATTAACTGTTTTGAAAATGTCCAGATTAGCAGACTGAGTCAGCTGCAATTTCTGGTTATATAGCAGCAGAGAGATATATCAAAAGCCATGCTTCAACCCTAAGTTGCAAGGTTGGTGAGGGGGAGAGGAAAATATGCCTTTGAGACTTCTGAATGTTACTTGCTCTTCCCTGAAAATCCATCAAGGTAATGAGTGGTTCATACCTGTTAAAGGGCATTGCTGCCTCAGTGAAGCACTTAAAGATATGAGCTTTCTTTGAATACAAGGAAACAAAAAGGTCAAGCTAATCTCATCAGGAACCATTGAATGCTTAAGTTTCTTTGACAAGTGTGTGTGGTAGATAAATGAGTAATACAGAAAATAGATGATGACAAAGAGAGGCTGAATCATTTTTATGAAGTCTTTGTATATCATATAGGAAAACAAGTTTGGATCACTTCTCTGGAGACCATCTCAATGCTGTACAAAACCATTGCTTCTTAGCTCTCAACTATACAGCTTTGACCTAAAATTGTGAAATAAATACTTTTCATCTGTCTCGATTATCTTTCACTACTTTGTCTTGGTCCAATAACTTAATACTCTTTCCCCATATCTACTTTTAAAATATATTCTCAGCCACTTTGCTATTAGCATTCATAATTAACAACAGCTTTAAAATATATAGTAAGATTTATTTATACCACGACACTCCATGCCCCATAGTTAATCCAATATTAGAATGCCCAGCGTTATCAATAATTCTCACTCTACTATATAAATTGCTAAATCTTCTCTGAAAGAAAAAGACTCAAACTCTGACATTCTTTATTATGTAATATTCAAATGTTTAGCAATTGAATTTTTGGCTATTATTTTATCAAAAAGTGTTTCAGTATTATGTCATGGATTTTTATTTTATACTTTGTAGTATAATCCAATAGTACATTGGCCATCCAGTTAATTTTTTAATTTCAGTTATTATAATTTTAAGAGCAAGAATTTCCACTTGGTTCTCTTTTATCATTTCCAATTGTTCTTTTCAGATTGTCTACTATCTTATTAAGACCATATATTTTATAATTACTTGAATATTTTATAACAGACACAATTTGATAAATCCAATATTTTTGCCGTCACTGGGTTGGCTTCTATTGACTATCTTTTTAATTTTTTTTTATTATGAAACACATTTTTATGTTTCTTTGAGTAACTGGTAATTTTTTAAAACTTTGTATTGGATATTGTGGCTTATACATTGTGAAGGTGCTAGGTTCTGTTGCCTTCCTCTAAAGCATTGACTTTTATTGTAGTAGTCAGTTCAATCACTGCTGATCATCTTGAACTTGGATAGGTTTGATTTTATGTCTTTTATGCCTGGGGAAAGCCCAGTATGTTTTCCAAACCTTTCTAAATTAGCAAGAATCAATCTCCAAACTCAATCTCCTACATAGATGTTATCAAGACCTGGTTTCAGACTGTGTTAGGGTAGGACTATAGAAATCTTATTCTCGAGTGAGGACGTAACTCCTAAAGCATGGCCTCAATGGAGTCTCTATTAGATGCTCAGTGTACTAGGGGTGTGTTAGAACAGCAGTGTCCCCAGCATATCTCAGCCTCTAGTATCTATGCTTCATTCTCACCTCATAGCTGCCAACTTCTGGTAACTGTGTATAGTCTCACTCTGTGTATAGACAGTGCAATCTTAGCCGAATACTTTGGAGGAATTTCTTCTTGACTTCGTTGGATTCCTTTCTTCTATACTGCTCTCATTCATAGATTATAGCTGCTTCATCTGCCCCAAACTCTGATTTTTGCCTTCTCCACTCAGCAGGACCACATGATTTGTTTGGACTCCATTGCATTGCACACGGGCCAGAAATTTGTCCCCAGGGAAAGGACAGCATTGAAAGTGGGACTGCCTTTGTGCATGCCCATTCTCTTAAGGATCATGTTCTTGCATTAGCTGTTGTCTAATTATATAAAAATTTGATATATTTATATGTGTATACACACATTTGTTGGTTTAATTTTCTCATCATTTACAGTAGGAGGGCTAGTCTGGTAGTATATGGGAAAAATGTTCTCCTAGAAAGTGAGTTGAAATATTTTTTCATATTTATAAAGTGCTTATTACAAATAATTTCAACCTTCACCATTGCCCTTAGGAATTTTGCTGTAAATCAAATCTTATTTTTCCATTGTTCTTCCATGTAAAATGAGAGTTTTGTTAGAAAGTGCTGGGGATTACTTATTGGCATATTTCCCCCATTTCTGTAGACTTCTAAGTATTTTGAGTATTTGCAATTTGGATTCCAGAAAATGTTCAGAAAAGAAACACAAAGTGATCGTTTCCAGTAGTTTGTTTAATTGTATAACATCATCTCTGAACCACAATCAGAGTTGTTAAAGCAGAAGCAGCAATTAAAGGAAAGTTAACTTGGAACAAATAAATAAAATTCATTTCCTCATTTCTAAAGAATTTTCACTGAAAGATTTCAAGATGAATAGGTCCAGAATCCAAATTGCACTGAATTCTTTCTATAGGTAACTTTATAACTTCATCTTTAAATGCTTTTTTCTGTCCATTATTGAATTAACATCTGCTAAGTTTATCTACCACATGTTTTTTAAAACCTAAGAATTACAATTTTAGGTCAGTATGAAAAGTAATTATTATTAACTTGACATTTTTAATAATGTCTTTAAGTGACTGCAATCCACTGTCAGGACACAGCCTTTAATCCTTTGTCCTCTATGAGCATCTTCCATTAGTAAGTTTCTCTTACTTGCTAAGTTCCTACTAGGATGTGTATATCAATTCTTACACAAAGTGTTAATCAAATTATTAATTAAATAGGTACTGATTTTACTTCTCATTTGATCTTTATATTTATTTTTTAAATTAATTAATTTATTTGGTTGTGCCAGGTCTTCGTTGCGGAAGGTGAGCTCCTTCGTTGTGGGAGGCGGGCTCTTTAGTTGTGGCATGGGAACTCTTAGTTGCAGCATGGATGTGGGATCTAGTTCCCTGACCAGTTATTTAACTCGGGCCCCCTGCAATGGGAGCGCGGAGTCTCATCCACTGTGCCATCAGGGAAGTCCCCTCATTTGATCTTTTAAAGATCATAACTAAAAAAAATATTCCTAGAGTTACTGCATGGCCATCTAATGGAATAGATTTCGCTGCAGATGGTTTAGAAGCTCTATGAGCAGATACAATCTGCTAGCATTGGCCTTTGAAGCTATATAAATGGTTAGGTTAAGGTTCACTTTCAATTCTTTATCCTATGGAACATGACTTTTCTTCCAAGTGGTCTTTGGCTTATGGAAAATTTGAGAACTGCCAAGACGTGGCAGAAATGTAGAATACATGTAAGAGAGTAGTGTGAAATGAAGATTAAAATGTAAACAGGTAGACCATAAAGGAAATCGTAAGAAAGTAATTGTTATAAAATGAACCTAGAGAGGAAAATTTCAATAAAGAGTTTAATTTTATCTGTTACATATTTGAC